GGGATAAATATTTTATTTTGGATTTCTTGGGAAAACAGAATCTTCGTTGAATTTCCTTGGGGTTATCTTAAAGCTTAGCAATGGGAAAATCTAGCAAGTGCATTGATTTACGACGACTTTTCTAGGTTTGGAAATCGTTTTACTTTTTTTAACCTAGTAATAATTAGGAAAATTAGGTTGAATAACTATAAAAAAATCTATTATTATAAATCTAACCATTTAACCTAAATTAGAATGGTATTAGCGCTGCGCGCAGGATGAAATAAACATATAGAAACGAAATTTCATTTTTTTTTGTTATATTCAAATTTACAATTACTTTTTATTTTGTATAGTAATGTGTTTCACCTATGAATAAAAAAATATATAAACTGAACCGAACCGAACCTACTCAAGATTCACCAAATCAAAGCAAAACAAAAATATATAATAATTCTAATGGATACAAACATTTATATACTAAATTACTCAAAATGAATCTAATTATACAAATCCGAACCAAAGTAGTTGGAAATTACTAAAACATATTACTTTGTTTTTATGTTTTATATATTTGAATTAATAAACAATATTTTATCTCATTATATTTGATCTACTAATTCTTGACATAGTTTTAGTTATAGTATGTTTTATGTAGTTAGCAAAATTTTAATTGCTAACACACATTTTTTCAAACAAAATCGAATAATATTGTTTTCAATCTAAAATGTATTTACTTATATATCAACTATTGTTGAAATATGTTTTAAAAATTCTTTTACATATTCATAGATTTCAAATATAAATATGAAACTAATTTATTTTAATTTTGTCAAATTATATATAGAGAGTTTGTATGTAAATTTAATTGTAAGATTTAATATTAAATTAAATTTCGAAATAGTTATTTTTGGCAAATTTATGAATATCCAAATTTGTTTGGCAATTATGTCTAGTAATGTTTATGAATATTTGTTTGGTTATAGAGATTATATCATAAAGAGTGTTTGGCTAGTAGGATAGTAGGAGTAATTATTATAGAATTTTAATTATTTAAAATAGTTGAGAAAAATTGAAGAAATGGCACCTAAGCAAAAGTTGTCTCCAATGCTTCTCATTTAATATATAAAAGATCTAATGCACTTAGTAATTAAAAAAAATCTATAATTATTTGCTAGTGAACAAATTAACCCTAATAATTAGGGAAATTAATTCTTTATTTATTTTTATTTCCTGTAAATGTTACTTAGTACTAATTCAACACTTTAATATAAAATAAACCACATTCCACATTATTCAAATTAATTCTATGTTATTGTTAGTGAACTGAATGCTATAGGATCGTTGTGCTGTTTATTCCGCAGACTTTAAAGAATTAATTAGTTCGAGTTTTTAGATATTCATCAACTTATAAAGAAAATGGTTTCTTGTGTTTAATTTGAATGGCAATTACAATGTAACATATACTGAACGAAAGAAAACATGTGATTGGATAACGTCGTATAAAGTCAATCATGAAATTAAGCAATGTATCAAAAAGTCAATGATCCAAGGTACAAGACGAAGCAAGCTTCAACGGAAACAAGTTAACGTAACAAGTATTTAACAACAAATGTGAACATTAGAGGTTCTATGAACTCTCAATTATCCTTCATGGCTACAAAATTCATCTTTCATTGGATAGTTTTGTATTTTCTTTCCATGCTTCGCAACAGGCTGCGTAGCAATATAACAAATTAACAATAGCTTTCCACAAGAAAAATGTAATTTATAGTTATATTGTCACGGATATTTAAATTATTTTAGTCATGTCTATATTTAAATGTAATTCTTGGTTTGTTTGGATAGAAGTCTATGTCAAAAATATATCGAAATTTAAAAGTTCACCGAGTTGTGGTAGTTTTTCTTTGATTTCGAAAACAGGCTTACCATTTCTATTAGATAAATCATAAATAGTTTAGAGAATTAACCGAACTACTCAAAATGAACTACAATCTAGTAGATGTATTTTGGATCGAACATAATTGTGGACTACTATATATACATATAAACTTTTCAAAGCTACAACTATAAACAAAAGTAACATAAGCATCAAATCTTTGTGCGAGCAAAGAGAATTCTAGCTTTTGATGTAACTAATTTAAAACATATGATTCATGGCATAATATAATTGCGACGTATTGTTGCTGCCGAGGCATGAATAATAGATGAAATACAACATTTAGTAAGCTACAACAGTTGAAATACATAGATTAATCAAAAAATATTTACACAACTTATCATGCATGATGGTGTGGTGGGATTATAAAAACAACAAGTTTATATTAAAATGAAGTTAACAGCACATCATTCTACAACACATTATTTCATATAGATTAAGTAATAACGCCATAGCATTTTCGTATGAAACAGATAAAACATAATATTTGTTCACGAATTCATCACCCTTTTTACATTGGGAAAGAACAATAAACCAATATTCTCATTACTTTCCAGACTGCATATTAGCACATAACACGCATAATAAGATTTTTGTTAGCATTAAACTAAGTTGAATTGTATGAAAAAGGTAAACAATGTCGTCCCTATTGTTGATACAAAAATAAAATAAAATAAAGATAATGTTCCCCTCTTAGGCTTTTTCAGATTGCAAAGTTAGGTACTTTGGGGAAAAAGGCTACAATGATTGAAGAGTATTTGGTATTTTTACAGGTATTGCTTTGGGGGTATAATAAATTATAAAATAATTAATACGAAATAATGTAGTCTCGATTAAACAATTTATTATAGTTATTCCAAAAAATAGATTAGGTTACCTTTTTGCCCCTAAGAATTAATGATTTGCTCCAACTATGTAGTCTCTCTGTACCCTATCGAATAAATTCGAACCACCACCATCGGAAGCTAATAGCGATATTTTTCCCTTATCCAAATAGTACTCGCACGATAACTCCATTTATATAAATAAAAACAAAAAATTCATGAAATCTCTTACAAAACTGTTAAATCACGAAAGCATGTGTTCATAATTATTATTCCATTAACCTATAGTTGAAAGATACTCCCAACTTTCAAATTTAAATTTTCTTGCATGCCTAATAAGCCCGCGATGATTACACTTTTCTGGTTTCAGTTTTATTAATTTTAAGTTTTACTCAAGAGATAACAAAAGGTGAAAACTTATCTAGTCAAGAAAATCAAATATATTTAACAGTTTGAATATATCTTTATCAAATAAATAAAAAAGTAAAAAGTGGTATAGTTAAATAGCTAGAAAACAATTAAAAAAAAAAACTTGAGTTATTTTAAAATTTTTAAGCCTGACTAAGGAAATCTGAATATTCCAATATGGAATTTGCAGTATTGGACTAAGGATTATAGGAAATTTTTAGTATATGGAATATTTATAATTATATGTTAATAAACCCCTAATATTAAATTCTCCGACATTTAATAATTTTATACACAGACTAGCTAGAGCTTATAATAATATAATAAGAAACGCGTTTGAACCAAACTCCGTTTTGTTGTTTCGAAGTCGTAACCTGCTCCATTATCTATGGACAACA